GAGACTCTGTTTCAAAAAAAAAAAAAACAAAAAACAAAAACAAAACAACAAACAAACCAAATGGCTTTATTAAGCTATAATTGACACACAATAATATGCACATACATTCTGAGTTTCAACGTATGTATATACTTGTAAAACCATAGTTGCAATGGAGATAGCGAATGTATTCATCACCCTCCAAATTTTCTTCATGTTCATAGAGTCTCTTTCTTTGGGCCTTCTCTTCTGCCTCCATCCTTAGGAAAACACAAATTTCTTTCCTGTCACTACAGATTAGTTTGCATTCATAGAGTTTTGTATGAATGTATTCACACAATGAGAACTCTTGTTGCTTTTTTTCACTTAGCATAATTATTTTGAGGTATCCATTCACCTGTTCGTAGGCAAGGTTCCCTTCCTCCTCCTTTCCCAGTTTTGCCTATGACAAATAAAGCTATCATAAACATTTATGTGCAAGTCCTTCTGTGTCTTTAAAGTGTTCTTGGATGGAGAGGTGACTTAGTGCATAAAAGTACTTGCTATGTAAGCCTGATGATCTGAGTCTGCTCTGCATAACCTACAGTGGAAGGGAAGCGTCGACCCTCCAAAGCTGTCCTCCTACCTCCGCACAAGTGCCATGGCACAGGCTCCACCCACTTAATAAAAATAAATATTTTTTTTTCAATGGAAAACAAAACATGTATCTTATAGACTGGCTATGTGTGAGTCTTATTCTTTCATCTTATCTGATCATTTCTATCTGGCAATTGACATATTTGGGCCACTTATAATAATGTGACTATTGACATGGTGAGACTGAAAATTCTCCACTGTGCTGTGTGTCTCTTGTGTCTTTTTCTTCTTTTAAATTGTTTTTGTTATTCCATTTTATATTTCCTGTTGGTTTATTAAGTGTAACCCCTTTTTAATTTATTTGTTATTATTATCGTGTGTGTATGATGGGGCAGGTGCATGCCATGGCATTTGTGTGGAGGTCAGAAGGCAACTTTCAGGAGTCAGTTCCCTCCTTCTACTGTGAGTTCCAGGAATCTAACTCCGATTCCTAGGTTTATCAGGCAAGTTCCTCTACCTACTGAGCAATCTTGCCAGTTCAGGTATAACCCTTTGAGGTGTCATCTTAGCAGGAGTTTGGAGTTTACTGGATACATTTTTTACTTACCACTTTCTACATTCAAGTAGTATTATTCTACCTCATGTACAGTATAAGAAGTTAATAGTGGTATATTCCAATATCTCCCCTCACCTCTGGCCTATGTGCTTTTTGCTTCTGAATATGTTATACATAAAGCATTATTTTAGCTTTAGGTAATTATATCTTAAAGATACATTATTAGAAACAAAGATTTTATATTTACCCACATATCTTCCCAGTTTTAGAACTCTTTGTGCAAATCCAGGTTTTCATTTGGTGAGATCTTCCCATTTGTAGGACGTTTTTGTAATGTATAGCTTGCAGTGATAGCATTTTTTTAGCTTTTCTATGAGCTTTTCTTTTTCTTTTTCTAAAAAATTTCCCTTTTTTTTTTTTTTTTTTTTTTTTTTTTGAGACAGGGTCTCCCTATTTAGCCAAGGCTGGCTTGAAATTGAATGTGTAGCTAAAGGATGACCTTCAACTCCTGATCCTCCTGCCTCTGCCTCCCAAGGTCTGGGATTATGGGCATGTTCCACCATGCTCAGATTCAGTTTGGAAGCTTTTTGCTATTGTTATTGGGATTTTTTTTGAGACAGGGTCTCACTGTGTAGTCCTGGCTGGCCTGAAGCTCATAGAGATCAGCCTGCCTCGGTCTTCTGAGTACTGGGACTAAAGGTGTGCCCCACTACACCCAACTTACTATTTTTTTAAAAATAGTCTTGCTAAGCAGCACAAGCTGGCCTTCAACTGTGATCCTCCTGCCTCTATGTCTTGAGAGCCAGATTGCTATTAATTAAAATTAGCTTCCGATGCCCTCTCCTATGAGGACTTCAATTATACTGTATTTGTGACATGTGATCTCGATGCTGGGTTTTTTTTTTTCAATCTCTGATTTTTGTGTTTTATTTTGGACAGCTTCTACTGATGTTTTTCATATACTGTAATGATTAGAAGTGAGGTGGGGTCCTGTTTCCATTTGGCCTTTCCTGTTACGTTATCTTTTATTCTAGAAGACAAAGATTTTTTGTGAGGGTTTTGCTAAATGTTAAACATGTCTACTCTAACTAGACATTTCAGAACTCAGTACTTGGAAGGTTGAGGCTGGTGGATTACAAGTTTGAGGCCAACCTGAGCTACACAGCAGGACCCTGCCTCAAAAAAATAAAACAAAAACAAAAACAAACAAAACCAGGTTGGAGATGCAATTCAGTGGGTAGAGTGCCAGGATTAGAAGCAGAAGGTCATCTTCAGCCACATAGTGAGCTGAGCCTCCTGAAACTACACACTACCATACAACAACAACAATAAGAAAAAAACCCAAGAAATGAAACCCAAGGTGTATCTCTGGACAAAGTAGACACACCAGGACCTGGATCAATACTATTATCTGACCTTCTTAAGTATTCTAGTCTAAGTGCAGTCTACCTCTCTTAAAAGATTCATATCTTTGTAAATGGGGGTTTCCTATTTTTGTTCTCTCTCTCCCTTTCCTTGTCTCCCTCTCTCTTTGTTTACTTTTTATTTTTGGCTTTTTAAGCTATAGTCTCATGCAGCCCACTCTAGTTAATAACTCATGTTGTAGCCCAAGATGACTGTGAGCTCCTGATCTTCCTGAACCCACTTCCTAAATGTTAAGATTACAGACATGTACAATCATGTCTCAACTCTCCTCTACTTCCCTCCCCTCCATTCCCTCTCATTTATTTATTTTTTTATCTTATGTGCATGAGTGTATTTATTGCCTGCATGTATGTAAGTGCACCCATGTTATGCAATGTCTGAGGAAGACAGAAGAGGGCATCAAATTCCCTGGAACTGGAGTCACAGGCAGTTGTTAGCCTCTATATGGGTGCTGGAACTCGAACCTGGGTCCTCTGTAAGAGCAGCCACTGCTAACTGCTGAACCATCTTTCCAGTCCCTTCCCTCTTTTTTTAAAGGATACCAGCTGCTATGAAGTTTTGTGGTGAAGGAAGGGGCAGTTATTTAGAAGTACCAAAACAAAAACAAAAACAAACAACAAAGCACTGTTCCCTAATTCAGAAATTACTAAGTCTAGAAATTACCAGACCAATGAAGTCACAACCTCTTTTTTTTTCAAGTCTGCAGATGACGTTAAAGTTCCCTAAATACTATGATGTCACTAATAATAAAGTCAAAAACCCACCAATGCTTCAGAATCATGGTCAGCCCTGGCTCACAGGGCATCTTGACAGCTATGCTGAGCAACCTATCTTTAAAAAAATATTTTATAGTTGGGTGTAGTGGCATGCGACTTTAATAATCCCAGTACTTGGTAGGCAGAGGCAGGTGGATTTTTGTTAGTTTGAGGCCAGCCTGGTCTACATAGCAAGTTCCAAGCCAGCTTGGGCTACACAAAGACCCTTCTCAAAAAGACCAAAACAACTATTTTATTATTTTTATTTTATGTGTATGAGTGTATTGCCTGCATGTATGTGAGTGCACCGGTGTTGTGCAATGCCTGCATCAGTTAGAAGAGGGTTCCCCTGGAACTGGAGTTACGGATGGTTGTTAGCTGCCATGTGGGAGCTGGGAATCAAACCCAGGTCCTCTGCAAGAGCAGTCAGTGCTTTTAACCTTGGAGACTTTTCTTCAGTCCTGCAATCTACCTTTATCATCTGGTCTAAAACCTTGGTGGACGAAACTAGAACAAGCTCTTAGGAAAGTTCAGATAATGCTTTTGAAATATCACATGTAGGCAGTTATAAAATCTGCCAGGTCTCATAGTCTGTAATTCCAGTACTTGAGAGGCTGAGGCAGGAGGGTTAGGAATGCAAGGTTGGCCTTGGCTACATCAGACTATGTCTCAAAAAACTAAAAAAAAAAAAAACTCTCAGGTCACCTATGACAGTTACTCTAATTCAGTGAGAGTGACAGTTGAGAGACAGGCAGCCTAGGTTCTAATTCTAGTCTTACCTGACCTCTGAGCCCATCTTTATGATGTACTCCAAGATAAACAACCATGAATAGTCCACTCAACTACTGCTTCTTGCAGTCTTTTTAGAGTCAATCATTAGTGTCTTTTCCTTACAAGGTTATTTATCTCTTCCCATGGTGTTTTATAAAAATAACCTTGTAAGGAAAATAACCTTAAAAGGAGATAAATAACCTTGTAAGGAAAAGATATTAATTTGCTTCAAGAAATTCAACCAAAGTTTCAACCAAATTCAACCAACCATGAGTATCACCTCAACAATGTTCTATCCATGATTCAGGCCAATAAAGCGTGGAAAACAGTGCCCTATCATGATCTTGAAAATGGTACCTGGAACTTCAAGATAGAGGGCTTTGCTCTCTACTGTACAGATAAGTAAGGAGATGCTATCATCGTTTGGACTGATGGGGGCCAGTCAAGGGGGATGATAAGGAACTAGCAAACCATAGTTGGCCTCTGGTCAGCTCCTTGCTACAAACAGTAACGTGTCACACAACATCCCTATGCCAGGAGCAATTTACACTAAGGGCCAGGCCAGAGCCACCAAATCCTACCAACCACCAGCCTCCTTTCTCACCACCTAAAAAACTGGTGGCAGCTGCATCTCTACCAACCAGCACAGTGTCTATGTCAGGTACAACACACAACTTTCTAGATGCCAGCCTGTCACACTGCCAAAGTACCAAGGACATGCAGCAAACTATGCCCATGCATCCAGCACCCTCTTGCTCAGAGACTCAAACTCATTACCATTGAAGGTTCACGTGGAGCCAGATAACTCAACCGATGCAACTGTGATATATCAAGCAAAAAATTCACATCACAAAACATGGGAAACATTCCATTCCCTTTTGCTCTTCGTTCCCAATCCCAGCTCCAAAATCTTCTAAATGCCCCTAGTCTCAAGGAGGAAATATAACAGAGCTGTAAGAGAGAGGCCCCAAGACAAATAGAAACAACCTGCCTGGATATCCCAACAGTCTCCGCTCCTAGTCTAGTAGCACTGTTATCTCTAGACCAGCACCAAGCAGCAGAATCAGGAAAGACTTAAGTGTTCTCTCTTTCTCAATCTCTCTCTCTCTCTCTCTCTCTCTCTCTGTGTGTGTGTGTCTCTGTAATTTTTTGTTTTGTTTACAAATCATCTCCTAAAATAAAAAGAAATCATCTCCTGTAGCCCAGGCTGGCCCCAAACTGAGTCTGGCCTTAATCCTTCTGCTTCCATCCCCCTCCCATATGTTCGAATTATATGGATGTATGCATGCACTCCATGGCTAGGTGACTAGGGAGTTTTTTTCTTCCTTCCTTCCTTCCTTCCCCCCTTTCCCCTTTCTTTCTTTCTTTCTTTCTCTTTCTTTCTTTCTTTCTTTCTTTTTCTTTCTTTCTTACAATTTTATTAGAGTCTAAAAGAAAAGCCCCAGGGAAGGCAAACTAACCCTCAGCAGATGCCCACAGGAGGAGAATGGAAGAGAAAAGGAAAAAAACAGTCATACAATTTAAGCTGGCATGGAGGTCAGACACATGGCAGACAAGCAGCCACATAGTGGGGAAGGGAAGTTTAGAAAAAGACTAAGGTTGCCAGCCGTGGTGGCACACGGCTTTAGTCCCAGCACTCGGGAGGCAGAGGCAGGCAGATCTCTGTGAGTTCAAGGCCAGCCTGGTCTACAAAGTGAGTTCCAGGACAACTGGGGCTACAGGGGGACCCTGTCTCAAAAAGAAAAAAAGAAAAAAAAAACCAAAATACATATACAATATACAAAAAGAGAAAGACTAAGGAAGGCAAAAGTATAAGAAAAACATACTTAGGTTCTGGCCAGCACCTGAAAGAAAGAGGCAGAAAAAAGAAAAAGGGAAAGTTGTACCTTCTGAGTGAGGACTCCATTGGGCAGATCCAAGGAAATTCATGGCAGCTCGGCTCACAGGGACTGCCTGACTGGTGTACTGGATGCCATTTTAGGGTGTGGTTGTATGAGATTGGACATGCCCATGTTTGTAGCATAATCCTGACTTTTTCTAATTTAAGACTTGGTTAGTCTACAATTTTAATTCAAAGAGAGGTTCTTTCTATTTCTTAGTGTACATGTGCCACAGTCATGTGGCGGCGGGGTCGGGGGGGAGTCAGAAAAGAACCTGGGAAGTCAGTTCTCTCCTTCTACCATGTGGGTTCCAGAGACATAACTCAGGTCATCAGGATGTAAGCAACTAAGCAACTTTGTCTGTTGAAACAACTTGCCCCCCCCTCTCTCTCTGCAGGTGCACTGCATTTAAGTGTATATGCATGTGGAGGTCAGAGGATCACCTCTGATATTATTCCTCAGGTGTTGTTCCTTAGTACTGAGCGCTTTCTTTCCCCCTAGAGCTCACTAACGTAGACTAGGTTGACTGGACAGTGAGCCCCAGGGAGTCACCTGTCTCTGTATCCCCAGCAATGATAACACAAGCATGCCACCACACCCAGCTCAGCTTTTTTACCTGGATTCTGGGGATTGAAATCAGGTCTTTATGCTTTCCACACAAGCACTTTATCACCAGAGCCATCTCCCGTCCCCATAATTTAGGTCTTAAAAGCCTATTTTCTTCTAAATTGACAAGAAGTTAGGGCATCTCTAGTTCCTTAAATGTAGAGGGGGTTTCAACAGTCTTAGAAAGGCAGAAGAGTCCAATGAAAAAGATAATCAAATCTTTTAAAAAATATTACAGATCTTTCAGTTCAAAGTTCTGCAGTTTTTGTGAATGAATGAATGAATGAATGAATATTGGTATGAAAAGGTGAAGGATACAGACACTCAGATATTTGGTGTGTGGTTGCCTTTGATGAAAGGAGAGGTTAACTGTTTACTTCTGCATTATTTGTATGCATGTTGTGTATAGTATAACTATGTAATTTTTGATACTAAAAAAACTGTGTATGTGTATGTGTCAGAGAGAGAGAGAGAGAGAGAGAACTTTCTCTGATAATGCTTAAGAAAAGAATTCTTCTAGGATGATGGATGCAGCTGTGTTCATAGAAATGGTTAACTTAATGACCCCACTTGTCCCTGACATACATCCCTTGATGGATAGATTGCCCCAAACTCCTCAGGCTTTATGTCCCTTTATAGGCAGAGACCTGGAAGAAACATCCAGAATGAAATAAGTACTACAATTTCTGCAGAGGCAAGTGAATTGTATTGGAGATATAATGCAGCTTGCTTTCCATTTCTCATTGTTAGTATGAAGACTCAGTTGTACATATCAGAACCCAGTCATGAAATACCCCCCCCCTCAGAATTGCTGCAAGATTTAAAGAGATGACTGTTTTCTTTTAATTAAAACTTAAAGCCGGGTATGGTGGCACATAGCTGTAATTTCAGCACTTGGGAAATGAAGGCAGGAGAATCAGGAGAGTTCAAGATCATCCTCAGCTACGTAGTGAGTGCAAAGCCAGCCTGGGGTTTCATGAGACTTTGTCTCAATTAATTAATCATTTATTTATTTAATAACAAGTGATAATCTAGGGTGTAACTCAATGGTTAAGTGTGTGCTTAGCATGAGAAAAAGCCCTGGGTTGAATCCCTAACACAGATACACACGTGCACACACACAGATACAAGTAACACTTAAGAATGTTGAAGCATTCAAAGATCATATAAAATAAAAAGTGAGCTGGGGACAGTGGAGCACAACTGTAATCAGGAGGCAGAAGCAGGATTGTGGCAAATTCATCCTCCTTGTAAATTGCATACTACAGATAGAAAAGCATTTTCACTTAAATGAAATATAGCTCGAGCCATAAAACATTTGTTTAAATCTTATTTATATTTTATGTGTATGAGTCTTATGCCTGTATGTGTATAAGTGCACCCATGTCGTGCAGTGCCCTTTACCAACTGAGCCATCTCCCCAGGCCCATCTCATTCCTTTTAATGGGTAAATAATATGCTGTTTATGCAGATACCATCACTGTAAAACAATGTCTCAGTTTAAATATGTAAGTTGGTTTTCTTTTGGTTGCTGTTGCACTGCTGCAATACCAAATATCTCTGTGCACAAATACTTGGGTTATTGTACAAATATTTCTTAGGATACATTTAAAAGATGATGCACATTTGTTTTTATTTTCTATTTTTATGGTGTTGGGTATAAAACTAAGGTTTTGAATGTGCTAGACAAACATTCTACTACTGAACTACACCTCAACTCTTAAATATTCAAAAACATCTTACTAGATTATATTACTTGTAAGTAGTTTTATATTTATGTAGTTTATATATATATATAACCCACTCTATGTAGCTTAATTATAATCACTCCTCTAGTGCCTTTTTTCTTTTCTTTTTTTTTTTCTTTGTCTTTTTGAGACAGGGTCTCCCTGTGGTCCCAGCTGGACTTGAACTCAGAGAGACCCGTCTGCCTCTGCCCCCTCCCCCACCCCAGTGCTGGGATTAAAGGCGTGTACCTTCACGTCCAGCTGACACTAGTGCCTTTTCTTATTTTCCCCTCTCCTTTCAAAACATTTTAAATTTTATTTATTTATTATTATTGTGGAGTGGTCATGGCACATTCAAATGTGGAGGTCAAAGGACAATGCTGGGGACTCAGTTCTCTCTTTCCATTGTGGGTTCCAGGGATTGAATTTAGGGTGTCTGGCTTGTTTGACAAGTGATTTTACCTACTGAGCTATCCAATCAGCCCCACCTTTTACTTTCATGTTCTCACTCCTCTGATTCCCTATATGAAAGAAAACGTGATATTTGTCTTTGTGATACTGGCCTATTGCACTTAATGTGATCTCAAGTGACAGCCATTTTTTTTTCTGAAAATGATGTAATTTCATTCTTTTATGTCTGAATAAAACTGTGCCGTGTTTGTGTGGACCCCCCCCCGTCCGTATCCCCAGCTGACCTGGAACTCCTTATGTAGACTAGGCTGGCTTTGATCTCATAGAGATTCACCTGCCTTGGTCTCCAAAGTACTGCGTGAGTCACCTCACCAAGCTCTATATAACCTAAAAAAAAAAAAAAAAATCCACTCTTGGGACTAAGAGACAGCTCAATGGTTAAGAGCACTGGTTGCTCTTGTAGAAGACTAAGATCTGGATCCCAGTATGCACATGGTAGATAACAACTGTCTGTAACTCTAATTCCAAGAGAGCCGACGCCCTCTTCTGACCTCCATGGGCATTGTATGACATGGATGCCCTTACATACATGCAGGGAATACACCCATATGCGTAAAATAAAATAAAAATAATAAATAAAATATTTAAAATTTCATTCATGTGTTGAGTACCTAGATTGCATCCATAACTTTGCTATTACGAATAGTGCAGCAGTAAACATGGGCCTACAGTTATCTCTATAATAAAATGACTTTCTTTTGGGGATATAACTAGAAGTGGTATAGCTGGATCAGATGGTAGGTCTAATTTTAATTCTTGTAAGTATATATTTTTTTACTTATTTTTATGTGTATGGGTATTTTGAGTGTATTTAAGTGCACCCAAGAGTGCCATGCCTTTAGAAGCCAGAAGAGGGCACTAGATTCACTAGAACAGGAGTTACTGCCTGCCCTTGTTCCTGCTGTGTGGGTGCTGGGAACCAAACTCAGGTTTTAGCCACTGAGTCATCTCTCCAAACTCGTGTGTATTTTTGAAACACGATCTCCCTGTGTAGTCCTGACTGAGCTGGAACTCAAGCTTGTGCGAACGTGCCCACTGTGAGCGCATTTTAAATGACAGACATGAACTAAATCAAATATTGAAATGTTCTCAATTTAATTTTATGTAGTCAAATGTTTTTTGCTGTTATGCTTCTGAACTCACTGCCATGCTCAGAAACATCTCTAACATTGATTAGCAAAATATTTTTCCATCTTCTCTGCCACTGTTTTTGTATTTTTTATCTTAACGCCTGTCTTTACCCTAATCATGCATTATTTATGAAAAGAATGAAAAAGGAGCTCCAGCTAATTGTTCTCCAATCTGGCTCGCAGAGAAGGGATTTCGGGGAGTTTATGGAGCAAGGAAGTGAAACCTGACCTTCCCGCTCGGGCACTACGAGTGCAGGCACGTCAACAC